ATTATCTAAACCTCATTTCGCAGCTGCATGTGTACGCAACTCTCCGTCCCACCGATGCAGAGGCTGAGCAGCCATATTTGTCGTCGCTCGTGCCGTACGACGATCCCCCGGTGCCCGTGCTTGATGACATTGCGAGGAATGTGGTTGCGCCGCAGATTCATTCCTTACAAGTCGAAAGTGGAGTTGGTGGACAATCGGGAGGTCAAGATTTGGAGGACAGAGTCCGTAGTGGACAAAGTGGTGACGGGGAGACATCTGGAGATGATGAGAGCGATGGGGAGTCGGAAAGTGATAGCGAAGGCGACGACGGTGAGGATACCGATGACTCTTCCTCCCCTGCAGGGGCACCCATTCGTTCACCTGAGCGAGGGCATACAACGAACTCACAGCCAGTTCGAACATCTGATTCCAGCCTGACGAAAGGGGAAGTCGAGGAGCTGCTACTCGACCAAAGAATCCTCTTCGAGATGCGACTCCGGACTGTGAAGTTTGAAATTGAACAGCACGTGACATTTGAATGTACAAAACTCCGTGAGTTCATTGCTGGCCAGGTGGCCCCACATCCCCCTACCACCGCTTCGCGCTCAACGGGCGCCATTTTCGAGCCCGGTCCGTCAAGTTGTTCCCCACAAGGTATGAATCAAACATGTGCTATTCGGTTATATTTTTGGAAATCGACCACAAGGTTAGTCATTTTTTTCTTGTTACAATTGGGATGTAGACGTACATGGACGAGGCACAGACCCATTGCCCACGCCAATTGAATTGGGAGTTGACACAGGACGTTCACAGCCTCCAGGTACGTGCATTAATAACGAGTGATTCTACACATGTTACTGCCTGGTCGTTGTACGATGCTTGAGTTCGGAGATGTAATGTGCTCTCATGACGTCACTGTTGATTTCCACAGTCAGAGCATACAGTCCTCCATGCAGGGACGAGGGGGAGCTGCTTGTCGAAACTGAAGACTTGCCAGGTATGTGGGTATTACATGCACAATTCGGAACTTATTATTTCATCGAGTACGCATGTTGCGAAACA